TATTATTTCTCCACCTGCTCTGCTTTTCCTTTTGCCCAGACAATTAGAAGAGTCTTTTGTGCTTATTTTACTAATATTAAATATTTAATTAAGACTATTTTGTGACAAGAAGTGGTTTTGTTATCTCAGAGTGATCAGGAAAAAATGAGACTTGTTATAAATTTATTTCTGCTAGAGACAGGAAAATGAGCATCCCCTAAGCCAGGTGTGGTGGTGCACGCTTGTAATCCTAGCTACTTGGGAGGCTGAGGCAGGAGGATTGCTTGAGCCCATGAGTTTGAGGCTGCAGTAAGCTATGAATGTGCCACTACACTTCAGCATGGATAACAGTGAGACCCTATTTCTAAAAAATAAAAATTAAAAAAAAGAAGAAGAAGAAGGAATAAGTTCACAAAAGCTTTCTTGAAGAGGTAGTTGTAGAAAACAATACAATTATTTTTCTGATTGCACCTTATGAGTCTCAGTTGTTCAAAATAATAGTGGTTACATTTTCAGAGGCCTCTCTTGGATCCTTTAGAATCTCTACATGGCACTGCTGAGTTAACCTAGATGTGAAACAGTGAGGATTTCCAAGGACAAAACTTCTGAGAAATAAGTATGGTCTTTGTGATTATTTTAAAAGATAATCAAACTTTTGTATTTTTTTTTTTTTTTTTTTTTTTGGCAATGGTGCAGAAAAGCTACAGTTGGTAGGGGGAATGCTGCTTAACAGACTAAAATAAGATTGTTCCTTAGTTATGACTGAAGATCTAAGATAATAGATGCCAACTCCTCCTTTATTCTAAGTAAGTGAGATGCCAACCCACTCATGCCAAACATGCAAATTATTTGGGCGGTAACTGAGTTTTGAGCTTCTTGGTGTCTCATTCACCTTGATGATTTAAAAACAAACAAAAAAGGTTGAAATCGAAGAGATCTGGTCAAAAGAATTTAGAAGTTGGAGGAGTTGTCTGGAGAAAGAGTACATGCTGTGAATCCAACCCCTCTAATCTTCTAAGGGGTAGGGGTGGGAAGTGTATCCCTTTAATTTCTACCCTGAGAGTGGGGCCTCAATGATACCACCCAGGGAACTTGATGCACTGGGGTCTCACTCATGCTTGACAAAAGGCTACAGACGGGAGGGTTCCAGAAGCAGCCTGTGGCATCAGAGGGAAAAGCTTGATGTGAGAAGTACCTGAGCTTCTCATATGGTTTGGCTCTGTGTCCCCACCCAAATCTCATCTTGTAGCTCCTATAATTCCCACGTGTTGTGGGAGGGACCCAGTGGGAGATAATTGAATCATGGTGGCAGGTCTTTCCCATGCTGTTCTTGTGATAGTGCATAAGTCTCATGAGATCTAATGGTTTTAAAAACTGGAGTTCCCTTGCACAAGTGCGTGCACTCTCTCTCTTTGCCTGCTGCCATCCGTGTAAGATGTGACTTGCTCTTCATTGCCTTCTGCCATGATTGTGAGGCCTCCCCAGCCTAGTGGAGCTATAAATCCATTAAACCTCTTTCTTTTGTAAATTGCCCAGTCTTGGGTATGTCTTTATCAGCAGCATGAAAACGGACCAACACAGCTTCCTTCACTGTGGGTCAGAGGAATATACTTTCTGGGTGCCTGTAAAGAACCCAGGAAAGAATTGTCAGTTGGGGATTATCTAAAATGAATCTTGCCAGAGGAACAGTCTGGTCAACCTGAAATATATAACCTGAGGAGAAGTCATAAGTGTTCTCCTCATTCCCTGTACCAGTCACCCAGGTTATGTATCTACTGAATTTTCTTCCCGTAAGTGCAGCACATATGGGAAGAGTTCATTCTAGAAGAATAGAAATTGGGATTTAAAAATAATTCATACTCAGGAAAACAGGGAATATGAATGACATTATGAAATGAGCTTCCTCTATACATTAGATATTTTCTATATTATCATTTGTCTCAAGCTAGATTTTATTATGTAAATTAAATGGAAATTTTAGTGATTATCCTACGAGTTTGTGCTGTGCTAATTTAGCTATCTCACATACCAAATTGCCAATCTCCAGTCTGTGATATACATATATACAAAGCCCAAAAGACTTTTAAACATATGGAAGTGCTTTTATGAAGTACCATCCTTATGTCAGGTTATGAACATTTCTGCACCAAAGTGATTTTTTCACATTGAGATGGTGTAGGATTAGGTTTGCCTACATGCAACAGACACTGCAAATCAACAGAGGCTGTTCATATAGGGTTGTATTATTTCATGTAAAGGGTCTGGAGGATAGCAGGACTGGTATGAAAGTTCTATGTATTGTCAGAGACCAATTCCTTCCAGTTTTCTGCTCTGTCATCCTTGGGTAGGACTCAAGATGGCTGCTGGAAACCAGTCATTATGTCCGCATTCCAGGCAGCAAGAAGGAAAAGAACAGAAAGACTTTTCCTGGAAGTTCTTTCCAGGAAACAACTATTTCCACTTATTCTCAATTGTCCAGAACTAGTCACCGATCGTATCTAAGAGTAAAATAATCTGAAAAATGTGGTCTGCAACACCAGGCACCCAGCTAAAGTTTGGGGATTCTATTGATGATGAAGAAGGAATGTCTAATATTGGGACATAACATTTGCCACTGATACAGGAGACGGAAGTTAAGAGTTGTCTTTGGAGTCGGATGGCTTCTCTTTAATTCTTGGTTCTACCACTTACAGGGTTGTAACTTAAGTCAAGAGTCTCAAACTTTTCATGTCTTTATTTCCTTATGTGTAAAGTGAGAATTGTAGAGTTGTCACAAGCATTTAATGTGAAGACATTTAGAATGGTTTCTGGCCATGTGCTGTTATTACCATTATCCCCATGATTTACTATAACCTACTATGCTATAGCTAGTATAGCCTCTGGTGTTTGTTTGCAAATCTAGTCGTAGAACCTGGTATGATGCCTGGCACTTAATAGATGTGGATAGATGGATGAATGAATGAGGCAGACTGCATGAGTCTTAAATTGTGGAGCTTCTACTTTTTGGCTGATTTGCCTGGGCATTACTTAATCCCTTCCAGCCTTAGTTTTCCCTTTTTTTAAACAGAAATAAATTATACCGAGTGTTCTTCATTTGCACCTCCAGGTCCGCTCTCCACTCTTCTCACCCTGCTTTGTGCCAAGGAGACTGACCTCTAGGGTTCGCTGCAATGAGCTCCTTGCCTTCTGGCTTTCCACTGGGATGGGCCCGTAGGAGGCACTGGCAGGTGACCAGAGGTGGGAGGAGAGGGAGCTTGGACACTTATTCCTGTGATTTCCTCCCTGTAGGACCATGGTTTGGTAGTGGCTGGGTTTCTGTTCTGAAAGATACAACTATCAGGTGACCCTCACTTTATAGCTCTAGGTTGTTCTGAGTTACAGTAACTGTTCCACCCCCAAGGTTCTCCACTATTGCTATCCTCAGGGTGCTTCAATAGTGTTGATTTGCTTAATGGTTCCCACACGTTTATAAAGAGATCCTTCATTAAGTTCTCCTCAGTTCCCAATTTGATTGTTTTTCCCTTCTGAGACCATGACTGATATTAATACATAACACTCAGAGGGTTGCTTTGAGAACGTATTAAAATAATGCATTTAAAGTGCTTAGTACATTGTCTGGCAAAGAATAAGCACTCATTCTGCTCCACTAATGCTATGATTATCTGTTTCCTTTTACTCCTCTATTTTATGTTTGGCAATATCTTTGTTTCATATGATTTTCAAAGAGTTGGTTGATTTGCTGAAATATTTTACTGTTAAAAATCATCAGAGCATATCTAAGCTTAATTTTTAAACTTGATCTTAGCCAAAAGGCTGAGAAGCAATCTAAGCTTAATTTTTTGGTTTATCTTATCCCTTCAAACAAAGTGGTGGCTACTAATTTTTTCTCAAAAGATTTTTTTTTTGCTGTTAAAATAAATAAGACCCAATGTAGTGTCATCTACCATTGACTTTGGAGCCTGAACATCTAAGAAAAAGAGTAGTTGAGCTAAGGGTATATGGATCAAAGCTGGGAAATTTGGCTGGGAGGATAGTAATTCAGGAGGTTGAGGTCTTAGAGAGCAGTGCTCTGAGAAGCCAAGGATCTAGAGAGCCATGGAGTAGACCAGGGAACCAGCACCAGAGACTTAATCAAAATGATTTTGACTAAGCTGGACTCCCAGTTACAGCAAAGCCTTTTTACTAAAGCAAAATGGACCCAAAGCGTCAGACTATAGCCATGATACTCTTGCAGTTGAAGGCTCTGGTTTTCTAAAGAGGGGTCTCTCTTTAAAAACAAACAAACAAGCAAACAAACAAACAAACAAACAAGAAACAGAAAATCTAGTAGTAGTAATGTGTTCTGAGACTTCATGAATATCTTGGGGAATCTAGTCTTTCAGATAAAGTAATGGATTTTCTTGGTGATGAGTTCTGGTTCTTGGCTCTGAACCTCCAGCTTCATGATCTTCTAGAGTTTTGTATGGAGAAAACATTGAATCCCTGACATCCAATTTTGTTCCTAAGATCCCTGAGATGCTACCCTTGATGTTTCTGCAATTGGTTTGAGTACATCTTACAGTTGGCAGATTTTCCACATAGCAATAATTGCTTAGTAATTAATTGAATTATGCTCTATGATAGAGAATGAATAATAATGATGATGATGATATCTGAAGTCCTTGTAATTTACAAAGGGATTGCTACAAACATTTTCCTTCTTAGGGTTTTTAAAATATACCAACCCTGAGAAGGATAAAGAAGGAAATAGAAAGTAGGTAGAGTTAGTATATTTAATTGAATGCAGTTCTTTCTGTTTCGTAGAAATACCAATTTGCTTTTTATTTCCCAATAGCATACAGTAATTGCTATTTTTACATATTTATGATGAAACAGTTGACAGCTATGAGCTATCACTTATTTTTAATGTCAACTAGAGTCAACAATTAAAATCAGAATGTACTTCAATGAACACATGTTTTAGTAACTGACCATTTTTAGTGAGAATTCATTTTTCTTATATGTGGCTTCTATGTTTCCAGAGGTGGGTATCAGAAACACATGAAAAGTTGTCACAAGTGTGTTTAAACACAGAATGGGCTGAAATGAAGAGCAAGGCCTTATTGAATGAGGAAACAGTGAGCTCTGGGATTATCGAAAGGTATTCTTAATACTTTTCTTTACTTATAGAATATGGACATGCAGAAAGGACTTGTATAAGTAGCAAAAAAGTATAGTGACCCCAGTTCCACACTAAAGGAACACATAAAGCACATTTGTCTCAAGCTTCCATGCTTTCTGCTCATGCCGATCTCTCTCTGTCTGGGAGTTTCTTTTCCTCAATTTTTTACCAATCAGCTCTCTACTTATTCTGGGTCCAGCTAAAATGCTGTTTCCTCTTTATATGTGTGTTTTGTTTGTTTTTTTTTTTTCTGGACCAGGGTTCTGACTATCCAGGTTTGAACCCCAGCTCTACAATGTACTGTAAAAGTTTTTTGGTGTTTATAACCCAGCTTGTTCACCTGTAAAATGAGAATTACAAAAGCATCTACTTCGTAGGGTTGTTATGAAATTTAGATGAAATAAAGTATGAAGTGTGCATAGAAGTGTTGCCTGACATGCAGTAAGAATTAGGTAAGCTGTCATTAATCAGAATTAATTGCTTTTCTATTTTTGTCCTCTGAGTATTTTATGTCCTACATGACAGTTGGACTTGCATTCTAGTTATTTATATGGAGGCATTTCCTCAGGAATAGAGAGTTCTTTGAGGATAGAAGCTCTTTCTTCGTCATAGCTGTCATCCTGCATCCTGGCACAGTGCCTCCCCATGGAAGTGTATGACACATAGCCTTTGTCTTATACTGTAATTGTTGAAAAAGGCAGTCAAAATAATGACAAAAATGCTAAAATTTCCATTGACTTGTTGAGACATTTTGTTTTATAAAGTTCATGAAAGTTGCAAACATGAAAACTCTTTAAAAAGTAATCACCATAAAAATCCAACCCTAAATTAGTTTTTGTTTTGTTTTTTTTTGACATGGACCCTTGCTCTGCCGCCCAGGCTGGAGTGCAGTGGCATGATCTCGGCTCACTGCAACCTCCCGCCTCCCGGGTTCGAGCAATTCTCCTGCCTCAGCCTCCTGAGTAGCTAGGACTACAGGCGCATGCCGCCACGTCCGGCTAATTTTTTTTTTTAATTTTTAGTAGAGACGGGGCTTCACCATATTGCCCAGGCTGGTCTTGAACTCCTGAGCTCAGGAAATCTGCCTGTCTCGGCCTCCCAAAGTGCTGGGATTACAGGCATGAGCCACTGCGCCCAGCCCCTAAATTAGTTTTACATGGGTTTGAAAGTTTACACATTACACTCTAATAAGTTTTCTAAAAAATGTTATCTTGTTTTAGGGTCACCGGATTGCCTGCCACAGGTTTTGGAGCTGTCTTTCCTAGACATCCACCAGATCGGAACAAAATGTTAGTAGTCCCTAAACTGCTACAATTGTACACAATGTTTCCTGATTCAGAAGGTTTGTTTGCAGAGGTGAAGGTATGAGAGGGTGAGCCAAGGTCAACAAAATGCCCTTTACATGACATCTTCAATTTGCCTTTAACCAAATATTTTCTCCATTCACATGCATAGCATTAATAACAATAATAATACAACAGTAAATCCTCACTATTTGCAGATTCTGTATTTGTAAATCTTTTTTCTCTGTAAAATTTACCTATTTGCATCTCCCAAGTCAATACTCGTGGTTCTGTCATGGTCATTTGTGGACATATGCAGAGTGGTAAAAAAGGGAAGGCACCAGATATGTACCATCCCAGCTGAGGTCGAACAGGGTGATGCCCTGCCTTCTTGTTTCAGCTCTCATCCTATAAACGTGTTCTTTCCACAGTCTATTCAGTGTCACATTTTTCAAACTCTTGTGCTTTTTGTTGGTGATCTCGTTTAAGACATCCCTCAAGCATGGTGCTGAAGTGCTGCCATGTTCCTTAGAGCAAGAAGGCTGTGATGTGCTTTTCAGAGAAAACACATGTGTTAGACAAGCTTGATTCAGGCATGAGTTGCAGTGTTGTTGGTCATAAGTTCAAAGGTGATAAATCAAAAAATAAGATGTCTTTAAGCAGAAACAGACATTAAACAAAGTTTTATATTGATCGAGTGGTGAAAATGTGACCAGAGGCTTGCAGGAACCTAACCCTACATTTCCCCTAAGATCAGTGGTTCAATATTTGCTAATTCAGTGTTTCAGCAACTTCGTAGAACATTACTATGAACAAAGAGAACTGACTTTACAGCAAGAGACTATTTTTACTGATATAAGAGATAAGTCTGTTTTGGCAGGGAAGCATGAATTCTTACTAAAAAAGAAAAAAATCTTATCCACTCATCTAAATATAAACTTTCATTATGTACAGTAAGTGATGTGGAAATACATTTATAAGTATGACAAAATTCTAAGGATTGCATTGTGCATTATGGGGTTGTTATGAAGATTAAGCAAGTTAATAGACATCAAACAATTAGAGCAGTAATTGATGCATGCATACTAAATTCTTTGCTGGACATGGTGAACCTTTCAGTTTATAAACTCATATCAGTTCAGAGAAATTTTCTTGATTTATTTTATTCTTGACCTACTGTGTTTTCTCTGTTCTCCCTTTTGGAAATCCTTTATTTGAATGTTGGATTTCTTTTCCTGATCCTAAAACTTTCCTGTCTTTTTTCAGCCTTTCTTTTTGGTCTTTACGATCTACTTTCCTCTCTGTTTCTTCAACTCTACCCTTGAAATATCTTTTTGTTTTCTGAATCCTTTTGTTTTTGTAGGTTTTTTTTTTTTTTTTTTTGGTTTCATGACTTCAGTATCTTCCCTTTTCTATCTGAAGATGTTAATGAAAGTTTTAATGATAGCTTAAAAATTTTTTTTTCTTCCCCATGCATACTCTCTGTTTTCTCCAAGATGTCTTTTTTTCTGTTTTTTATTTGTTGGTATGGTATCCATCTTCCACGCTAGAGGCATTTTCCTTAGGCACCTGCTAATCAGTCCTCTGCTCATGATTAAGAGATGGGGCTCTGAGCCTGTGAGTGAGGCTTACTGCCTTGGAGATTCCCTGGAGGAATCTAGGTGGGTCATTATTTCAAAGAAACCCTAGTACCAGTAAAGTCATGCATTGTGTAATGTCAGGGATATGTTCCAAGAAATGTGTTGTTAGGTGATTTCATCGTTGTGTGAACATCATAGAGTGTACTTACACAAACCAAATGGTCTAGCCTACTACACACTGAGGCTAGATGGTAAAATCCATTGCTCCTAGACCATCAACCTGTACAGCATGTTACTGTACTGAACAGTATAGGCAATTATAACACAGTGTTAAGTATTTATGTATCTAAACATATCTAAACATAAAAAAAAGGTGCAGTAAAAATACAGAATGAAAGATAAAAAATGGTACACCTGTATAGGGCACATGCCATGCATGTACCCTGCAAGACTGGAAGTTGCTCTGGGTGAGTCCATGAGTGAGCAGTGAGTCTATGAATGTGAAGGACCAGGACATTACTAAATACTACTGTAGACTTTATAAACACTATACTTAGGCTACACTAAGTGTATAAAACAATTTTGTTTGTCTATTTTGCATTGTTGTAATGGAATACCTGAGACTGGGTAGTTTATAAAGAAAAGAGGTTTATTTGGCTCACAGTTCCACAGGCTGTATAAGCATGGCACCATCATCTGCTTGGCTTCTGGTGAGGCCTCAGGAAGCTTTTACTCATGGCAGAAGGTGAAGGGGAGGCAGGAATGTCACATGGCAACAGAGGGAGCAAGAGAGAGGGGAGGAGATGTCAGGGTCTTTTTAACTACCAGATCTCATGTGAACTCTCCTTACTGCAAGGAGGGCACCAACCCACTCATGAGGTATCTACCCTCATGACCCAGACACCTCTCATCCGACCCCCACCTCCAACACTGGGGATCACATTTCAGTATGAGATTTGGATAGGTCAAACGTCAAAAATACATCAATAATATTTGCCTTTCTTCAAAAAGACATTTACTTTAGCTTATTGCACCTTTTTTACTTTATAGCTTTTTTTTTTTTAACTTTTGGACTCTTTTAGCAACACTTAGCTTAAAACGCAAACACATTGTATAGCTGTATAAAATATTTTCTTTCTTTATATCCCTATTCTGTAAGCTTTTTATTATTAAACAATTTTTTTTAACTTTTACAACTTTTTTCTTAAAAATGAAGACACAAACACACACCTTAGCCTAGGCTTACACAGGGTCCAGATCGTCAATATCACTGTGTCCACCTCCACATCTTGAGCTACTGATAAACCTTCAGGGACAATACCATGCATGGAATTGTCATCTCTTGTGATAACAATGCCTTCTTCTGGAATACCTCCTGAAGGACCTGCCTGAGGCTGTTTTACAGTTCACATTTTTTTTAATAAATAGAAGAAATATACTCTAAAATAGTGATAAAAACCATAGTATAGTAAGTGCATAAACCAGTAATAGTTGTTTATTATTGTTATCAAGTATCATTATATACTGTACATAATTGTATGTGCTCCACTTTTATATAGCTAACAGCATGTACGCTTGTTTACACTAGCATCTCCACAAATATGAGAGTAATGCATTGTGCTAGGATATTACAAAGGCAACAATGTCAATAGAAATTTTTCAGTTCCATTATTATCTTATGGAGTCTTCATAGTACCTACTGTCCAGCCTGTTGTTGACTGAAATAGCATTATTTGGCATGACTCTATTTTAGTCTCTCCTTTTGGGCTGGTCATATTCCCAGATAAGCCTCTTCAGTCTCCCTTCTGAAGGGTGAAGAGTGGGCTGGTGCCTGTGTTCTTAGAGTGAGCAAGACAATTGGACAGGGACATCAATATGAATACTGCATAATGTATGGTCACTGAATTGAACTGTGTTTTTGATTAAGGACTTTCTTACCCTACAGATGAATAAATTTCTAGCTTTCTGCTAAGGAAGGGGAGGGGCAGTTACCTGGCAGTGGGGGAAGAGCTTGGGAGCATCACCTGCTTTTCAGATAGCTCTCCCCACAGGCCTTTGCTGACTTAGGATTCATTCAGCTTTCTTCTAAGTCAGGAACCACTTGTCCATCTTCTCTTGAGTTTCCAAAATTTGTTTCTCTTGTCCTTTCTCCTATTCTCCATATTATGGGTTTAAAAAAAAAAAACACTTTCTTAAGTCTCTTTACTGTGGTTTTAGTGGAGCTTTTTGAGGAAGCAAGATTCAATGCTCATCTTAACCCTGATGTTATCAAGTCTCACCTGATTTGCCACCTCCTCCAGAGGACCTTCCCATACCTAATGCCACCCCACCCCCAATAACTTGGTTAGGTCCCTCACTGTGGGTGCCCAGAGCACTGTATGCTTCTTTTATGCAAACACTATTAATATTTGTTGCAATTGTTTGCATTCTTCTTGTTCTTGCTCAATTCAATGCTCTGAAGGGAAAGACTATCACAACTCTGTCCCCAGTGCCTAAAGAGAGCCTAACCTGCAGCAAATACACCACAATTATCTCCTGAGTTAATAGATTAATTATTTCCGACGGTGAACAGCAAATTATAATAGAAGGGGGTTTGGCTAATTCCTATTTTATTTGATTTAGGGGTTCAAGGCCTTTAGAGCCAAAAGTTGTTCTCAATTCTTTTTGGTAAATGCATTTGAAGACATAGTTTCTTTTAAAAAATCAGCCCTTATTAGTTTGAATTGCTAGAATTACTCATTTGTTTTATGTGATTCATGAGTATTAACAAGGAGATAAATACATGAACACCTTCAAACAGCCCCTACTAATTCCATATGTAATTCTTTCTTTCAGTTAATATACACTAATTATAGAATGTTTCATACAGTAGAATGCTGTGGTGTTTTAGAATCTGCTCTCTTGAATATTAAATAATCTTTTGCTTCTTGCCAACTCTACAGCTCTGCAAGTTAAATGTCAACTTTAAAAGGCAATGAATAAGAATGAGTTTGCTCAATGGACCAAAATACGCTTCAACTTATAAAAGAAAGACTGTAATCATAAGGTAAATTTAAGGTTTAGGTTACCTCTTAAGGGAGAAAAATTAGAATAAGGTATAGCTTTGTTATTAAGGAGACATTAGGTTGATGGACTTATCTTAATTTTTAGATAATGTCCATTATGCTGAAATGGCATTTGACTGACTCTTTCTCATAACTCAACCTATGTCCCACCTACTTTATTTTGGACCAGTGTGAAGAAGACATAACACCTTTCCCCCATCAGTGGGTAGCAAACATCTCAATGACACTAATTGAAAATCAGAACAGCTAGAATGTTTGACACCACCAGAACTTGTCACTCCTGACCTTAACTAAAGAAAAGGGCTCGGTGAATAATTCCTTCCACGTGCATCACAGATGGAGGAGATGGATGAAAAATAAA